ATATTTTAATCATATGAACTCTTTTCGATGATTATTCGTACTAAAATTTCAACTTATTTTTTTAAAAATATATAATAAACCTAGTAAAAATACAAAAGTAACAAAGCAGGAAAGTATAAGACAGCACCTGTTATTTAGAGATAGTTCTTATATGCTATCTGCTAACAGGCTTAGAGTTTATTATTCACTGCAATATCAAAGCAGTATTTGTCATTTAGAAATAGTTCTCATATACTACTTGCTAACAAGTACAAAGTTTATTACTTACCTATTAAGAATTAGTACTAGCTATACTCTAGGTGAATACAAGTAGATAGTAGATTTTAAAAGATATATACTCTTTTTAAAAATTTTTTTAGTGCTATTATCATTCCTCTCATAGGTTTTTTGAATCTTCTCTTATCGAAAATTAAAAAAGTAAGAGATTTGGTAAACTTCTGACAAAGAATCTGCAAGTTATACTACTTTCTAATCTGATAAATCATCTATTGATATGCAACTTAGACAAGACAACAAACACATACATTACTATCATATAGATGATCTAATTAGAATTTAACTTCTAAACAAGTCTAATTTTAGATATATGTATTCTTGTTTTTGTATAGAATAATATTTTTATTTTGTTATACTCTTTTTTTCTTTATATTAATTAGAGTATTTGTTTTCTTTTTTTTTTTTCTTATTTGTTTACTTGTAAGAGTTTTTTAATTTAGTAATGAATTTTTCTCTTATAAGCTTAGTTCATATAATTAGCTATATTTCATTATATACAACAATTTTATTTTTAACTTGAACTAAATGTTAATAGTTTGTAATTTAGTTTTGATTAGATTAGAAGCAATCTAGAACCTTAATAAAGCATAAAAGAATATATTATTAATTTGAAAGAACTATTCTACTTAGGTGGGATGCCTTTTAGAGAGATAAATACTTTTTGCAGTAGATTACATCTAAATAGTATAAGGCAAGCTAAGTGAATTTGAGGTTGCAAGGGTGGGATATATTAGTAATTTAGAGTATTAGCTTTTTTTGTTATTTTTGTATTATAATTTTTCTTCATAAAATCTTCTACTAATAAACCAAGAGTAAGATTACCTAAGTTAAAAAAAAAAAAAAAAATATTTTAATTTAAATATAAGTTTTTTAATTTAATTTAATATATTTTATTAATTAATTTTATTAATTAAATTATTTATTTATTTATTTTTAGACTAATATTTTTTATTACTTTAATATTGATAATTTTTATAATATTTATAGAATATATTAACTAGGTATTATAACTCTTTCTATTATAAATTATATGACAACTTGTATATTAAAACTAATTTTTAAATATCTTCTGTTTTAGAAAATTCTAATTATTCTTTTTTTAATTTAGAAAATATTGAATAGCTTTCTATTAGAAAATATTTAATAACTAAAATTAAAGAAGCTTTTGATATAAGTTATAATACATAAAAATTAAATTAGATAGAAAATATTCAATTTGAAAATTAAGATTAAATTGAATTGCTTATATTACATATATATGATAATGCAATTGCTAAATACAAAGAAGAAAGATTAATGAAAAATATTAAAATAACTAATGCAAAAAAACAAGGTTAACATTCTATAGAAGATTATTTAAATATATTAAAAATGATTACTTTAATAGAATTGTTTTAACTATATCTTCAAAATAATATAATACCTATAATTACCAATTAGTCAGAACAATATTTTATTAGAAAAATTATAATATATTATTATAAAATAGTTAATATATTAGAATATAATAATCTATTAGTTCACTCTTTCTGATGATCCTTTTTCCTAATAAAACTAAAAAAGCAAAAAACAAAAATTTTGTTAGAGAATGATGAAAAAGACCCTTTTATAACAACAGTTTTTACAAAGATCAACTAGGATTCTACTTCTTTCTAAGAACTTCTTTGTATATTCAGCATGCAAGCTAAAAGCAATATTATATAAGATAACTAGCAGGAAGTAGAGCCCTTATATAAAAAATTTTGATAAAGAACTTTTAGAACAAAGCTCTTTGTTGATGAAGTTAGTAAAAAAAGGCTTAAGAAGCAGAAGAACAACTAAATATTTTGTTTACATACTTCTTAAAGTTTTGGAAAACAACTATATACTGCAAGCTTTTTCTTGCTAGTCTTCTATCTATATTAACAAAAGTAGAGAATTTAGGTTCTTCTCTACAAAAGATCAGCATTATTTATCATATCTATTTTTAGATATACTCCATTAGATGCATGACTATAGAAATAAACAAAACAGAAAACAAACATATAGAAATACATATTTTGTTTTGCTTGTTTTGTTAAAACTAGTTCTACAGGTATATGAGAAGATGTGAATAGCAATTGATGTACTATTATAAGGTGATAAGAATGGATTATAATATTAGAGAAAGGATAATTTGAGATAGGTTATAAGTCTGCTGACTTAATATTTTTGAACCTAGTCTAGATTAAAGAGTACTTTGTTTTCTTTTTGTTTGTTTCTTTTTTTTTTATATAGCTCATTCTATTATGTTACTGCCTAACAAAGTTTTTAACTTAAGACAAGGTTTTCTTTGTTAGTTAGCTTTAGAGCATTTAGATAGTAACAATTTTTTTTTTTTGGGGTTATTAGGACCATCTGAAGCACAAAAGAGTTTGGGTGACTGAATCTGATAGTATATATTTAAAAGACTAACTATAGTATACTATATATAGGTACTATTTAGATAACCAGATGAGTTTTAGCTGAAAAGTCAGACATATGAGAATATAAATTTGAATATAAAAAGTTTGCTTTGCAAACTGTTTGAATAAAGTTGAGGCATGGCTACTGAATTTAAAAAAAAAAATAATCTATTAGTTTCTGAAAATATCAATAATTTTATTCTAATTATTAGACCTCTTTATATTTCTTTAAATTTTTATGAACAAGTTATTCTTGTTCATTATTTATTTTTTAAAAAATTTTTTTATTATATATTAGTAAAAAAAAATTTTTGCAAAAAAACTAAAACCTTAGAAAATTAATTTATTACTTGAATTAATTTATAAAGATTAACAAAAAATATTATTAAATATTTTATTAAAATTTGATAATTGCTGTAATGATATAAAATACAAAATAATTATTGATCTTTTAGATAATTTGATATTATCAACTTTAGATATATATGCAACTCTTTTTTAATCTGAACATTTTAAACAATATTTTAATACTTTATTTCGATTATAGATATTTTTATGAAGATATAAAAGAAAAAATTATAATAAGATACCTTTAGTATTTATATCAATTATCTTTATTAGCAATAAATTTATTATCTTTTAGCAGAAATTATTTCAAAGAATTTAGTTAATTTTAATAATTATTTTGTTAAAAATTTTTATAGTAAATTAAAAGCAAATATTAATTAAAATTGGACTACAAATCATATTTTTGAATAATCTTATATATTAAATATATATAATAATTAATTATTTAATACTTTTTAAAATGAAAAAGTTTATCTATATAAACAAAAACAAATAGATCACTTGATAAAAAAAAGTAGTTTATTTTTATTAGAATATTTTTAACAAATTTTTTTAAAAGGTCTGGCAATCTTAGTGTAGTGGTTAGATTGCCAGACCGCTATGTAAGAGGTCTGGAGTTCAAATCCCACTGTCGACAAATTTGAATAATTACTCAGATCTTTGTACCCAACTTACGGTAAACCTTGTCCGTTTCTGGGGTTGTAACCCTGTAAATCACATTGCACCAATATCAATCGGATATTGGAAGTGTGATATGACATTCAAAGAGACATAACATTACATAAATAAATCTTGATAGAATCTACAGGCAAAGGACCTGCATGCTAGAAATCCTGAGTTAGGTGAAGTAGTACGAATTTCAACAGTCATACTAGTTAACGTTTGATCTAGTAATATAAAAATGCAGATCGAGTTAGGTGTGAGTAAGTCCATTTCACGGGGAGAAATGGCAACACCAACTTGGCTTAGTAGCTAACTAGATTTGGGAGGATCTTCCTTGTAAAATATTTGAAAGACCACTAGTGGAGAGCTACAGTAAGAACCAGGTTTGTATGAACATCGACAAGGGTATAAATCCCTGAATATACTATGAAATAGGCATAGAATGTTCTAGGGTAGAGGCCTAGTTCGTGGGTAAAGTAGCCCATAGTTCCGTATATGTTTGTTATCTAAGTTGGTATTACAGAAAAAGTATTGAAAATCAGAGGGCTTAAATAGAGAATCCACAAGTGGATCTTAGGTATAGCAGTTAGTAGGTAACCTTCAGGCGAAACCTTTAAAATAGACAATGACTAAAATTGTACGTGTGGCTAATTGTGGCCTCATTGATATGCAAAATGTAGTACCCCCCTATCTAAGTATAGGTGTGTAAGTCTTAAAATAATAAATATCGGAGCATAGAACTCCCTCTTTAAACTGAAAAAAAAAAAAAACAAATTTTTTAAAATCTTGAAAAAGTAAAAATATTTAAAACTAAAAATAATATTCAATTTTTTATAGTAATATTAAATAAAACTCTTGAAATTAAATACTTGTCAGCAGATTATTATATATCTTATTTATCTTTATTAGATAAATGTGATAAATGTAAAATTTTAATTAGATTTAATACTAGAAAAATATATAATTGTAGATATTTTTATCATAATAGTTGTTATAATTTAGTATATTATTATTGTTAAGAATATTATAAAAAGGAATTACTAAACAAGTTAATTAATTTAAAAAAGGATTAAATATTTTTAATTTTGAATAAATGTTCTCATAACAACTTGTTATATATAACAACCTCAGATTAGCCAATAGTAATTAGAGTTAGGGTTTGGGTTACATAAAGTTTTAGTTATTTTTATTAGCTGTACTAATTGAGTTGTTACAAATAAGTATGTAACAGGTTGTTATAATTAGATTCATCCTTTAATTTTTTAAAAAATAATAATATAGATGATAATAATGAATTTAATAATAAAACTAATAAAAGTAATGAAATTAAAAAAATAATATAGAGAATCTACTTTAAACAACTATTAAACTATTAATTAATAGACAACTATACAAAAATATTATATTTAATTAAAAATTTAATAACCATACACATCTTCAAAAATGCAAATAAAAATAATAAAGGATTTGCATTAGTTACATTCAAAGATAGAAGAGACTTGGAGCATGCAAGAAGATTCAGTATGAGATACTATGATATAAGACTCACATAGGAAGGAGTAGAAAGTAATTTTGAAGATCAAACATATGAAAGAGCAAAGCAAGAGCAAGCTAATTATGATCAAAACTGGAGAAATGAAAGATATGAACGAGCATGCTCAAGTAAGAATATAGTAGTAAGTAATAGCTTCGAAGAAGAAAAAGAATACTTGAGAGAAAAATGTCTCTAAGAGAACAAAAGAGAAGAATTTAATAAGAAAAGAAAAACCAAAAAAAGGAAAAAATATACAGACTCAATGAAGCTCCAAGAAGATCCTAACGTATCTTTGGCATATGTAGTTCAACTTATTCAAGGATTAGGAGATCGAGTAAGGTTGTAGGAGTAAAATGCTTCAAATCGCTCCTAAAATTTGCCAAAGTCCAACTACAGGAAGCCTGTATAGCTCACGAAGGAAAACTTGAGCATACAAAAAAGGCATACAACATATTAAACCAAAATAGAAGTAAAGAGTTAAGAGAGCAAGAAGAAAGGAATAAAGAGGCAGAGACGAAAGACAGATAAAAGATAGAATTAAAGTAAGAACACATAATATTAATAGACTAAAAGGAGACATGACAAAACTAGAACAATTAGCAGAATATTGCAGAGAAGAACAATTTAATTTAATGGGAATTGTAAAAACAAATATAAGTGAGAAGGAAGGCAAATGGCTCAATTTAGAGAGTATGATGTATAGAAGCTTTTGGACCAAAACAGAAGCGAACAAGAATAAAGGATCTGGAGTCGGCCTAATAGTAGATCAGAATTGGATACAGAATATGAGAGTATGTAAAAAGTATAACCCATATCTGCTCAAAGCTGAATTCTACTTTAGAAAAGTTGTACTACAGGTCTGGGTTTTATACATACCACCCAAAAATGCAGAAATAGCTAAAATAGTACACAAGATAATCCTAGAAGATCAAATAAAAAAGAGGAAGAATACGTATAGTATAATAATGGGAGATTTTAATGCAGTACTAAATAATGAGTTAGATACTAGTAGCAAGGAGAAACGAGTACAAGATGCAAACTCAAAAGTTATCAAATGGCTCAAAAACACAGACAATATAGAGACTTTCCATTTCTGCAATTTATAGACAATTAAATTCTCTTGGTCTAATAGCAATGTTGCAATACGAATTGATTATATTTGGTGTTGTTAAGATTTAAAGCCATTCATTACAAGAAGTGATATAGATAGTACAGAAATAATAACAGATAGCGATCATAGCATAGTCTAGTTACAATTAGATAGTAGTGATCTATTCAAAAAAGGTAAAATAAGAATTAGAAAAAACCAAAGTGAGACAAGAAGAATATACCTATATCACAAAGCAACAAAGGAAGATTGGGAAGCTTATAGTCAAAAAGTAGAAAGAATAATCACAAATGCAAAGAGAAAACAAGAAAAACAATATGACCGAATACAGAATATAAACAGAGAAACAATCGATGAGAGCTGGGAAGTATTATCAAAAGCAATTATAATAGCTGCAAACGAATATATCCTATCAACTAAAACCTAAAACACAAAGAGCCAAATAAGGAAAGAAGCTCCTAAGTCATTAGTATATAGCAGAGCAAAGATACTCAGAAAGTTATATAGGAAGGGTATGAAAAAATTAGAAGAAAACATAGATGAGATCGAAGAATTGCTTTATAATGCATGAATCAGACAGCTAAATTCTGAGTATAATATTCAAATCCCCGAGCTGACAGGTAAATGAGAGGAAAGATGGTACAAAAAAATAAAAGAATAGTAGAACATATTAAGAGATAAAGCAAAGAAAGAGGTAAACGTAGAAAAAGAAAAAGAAATAAGAAGGTATATCGAAAAAAGATTTGCAATAGATGTAACAGAGCCAAAAAAGATACTTAATAGTTTATTAGAAAGACACCACAGTAAAATTATATTAGACAAAGTACTAACTAATAGTGAGGAAAAGTTCGAGAATCAATCTTTAATTACAGGAAACGAGGAAGTTAAAGAAGAAGTACTAAAGCATTTTCAAAAGCAATTTCGATAAAGAAACTATAAATTCGAGAAAATTGACAATGAGTAGAAAGAAATATACGAAGAGCAAAGATACATCAAAGAAGAATGGTATAAAGAAGTCCTAGTAGAAGTAACTGAAGAAGAGTGGAATGAAGTAATGAACTCTCTACAAAAGGATACAGCTCCAGGAATCTCAGGCATTGGTTACAAATTAATTAAAAACATGGGTGTAAAGTGCAAAAAGCATATGATAGACCTTGCAAACAGAGTCATTTTAGAAGGGGACTTTCCAAAAAAATAGAAACTCAGTCAGATTTACTTAATCCCAAAAAGTACTAACTGGGAATTCAATCTGGCATTTACATGACCAATTATGCTTTTAGAAACACTTTGAAAATTAGTAGTTCGAATTGTTTAAAAAAGACTTTGTAAAGTATTAGTACAGAAGAGTATACTCAAAGGTGCAAACTTTGCTGGGCTACCAGAAGAAAGCACAATAGCACCAATATATATCTTGAACAACGTAATAGAAGACGCAATTCAAAAGAACAATAAACTATGAATAGTGTTTCAAGATATGAGAAAAGTATTTGATTCAGTAAGCATGACTGCCTTAGAACTTGCTATGAAGAGGATAAGATTTCCTGAAAAGCTTATTACCTTCATTAAGTATCTGTATAAGAATCGTGAAATCAGAGTCATTACTGATAGAGGTCCAACAAGTTTTTTCACAGCAGGAGATGGTATCGATCAGGGAGAAGTTATCTCACCTTTAATGTGGAGAATCTTCTATGACCCATTACTAGTTCAGATCTAACAAGCAAAGCTTGGGTACCAAATGCAAATAGAATGGCTACTCGACATAAGCAGAAACACTATAAGAACAGAAAAAATTGAGATCTCAGCATTAGTCTACGCAGATGATACTACATGGGTAGCAGCTTCTAAAGAGTCATTGCAAAGTATTATAAACATATCGAATAAGTTCTTTGAACTAAATGACATAGAAATTAACAGAACAAAGTCAGAAGTAATTGTATAGAGACCAAATATAAAAAACAAAACAAAAGCTCTTAATGGTGTATCAAGTTTACAAAATTCCCATTCTGGTACAAAGTTTATATTTTTAATGCTAATATTATTGATTTTGAGTATTGTGCTTTCATTTGCTCCTTCTTTTGCAAGCTGATCTGCTATGTCATTATACATATCTCTAGAATATGCCTTTACTTTGACTAGCTTTAGCTGTATTTCTTTACTTCTACATGCTTTCGCTATTACTCGCAAGATACTATTATTTTTTGCTTTTAACCAGTATCTTGTACTTTCATTTTCAAGGCTTTTAGTTATTGTTGCTATTGCACATGCGCTGTCTGTACGTATCTCTACTAGACATTCATTGGGTGCTATTAAGATTGCTATTAAACATGCTGCTAACTCTGCTCAAGTAGATAAAAACCAATTCTCTATTTTACCTTTATGACTATAGACTATACTATTCGTTTCATCTATCTAAACTATACTATAACTCATCTTTTTCTGTGCATCTTCTTTTTGTAGTGACCTATCTGTGTATACTACGATTTTCCTTCTACTTATATTTTCTATGAGGCCTTCTTTTATTTTTGCTCGTACTCTCTCATCTTTAATTATTTGATCTATAAGCTTTATACTCCAACTGTCTTCTAAGTATATACTTTCATGCCTTTTGAATGTATCTACTTCTATATTCTTTACTACTCTTCTTTTTCTTTGTTCTGCTCTAATTAGTGCTTCTTTACTCACTAGTAAGTATAGTCTGTTTTCTTTTTTACTTATCAGATTTGAGATATCTTGTACTTCTTTTAGTGCTACTCGTTTCTTGTTATTTTCTTTCTTTATGAGCCTGTATTCTTCTGTGTACTTTTCCTCTTGCTGCTCGTCATTCTCTTTATCCTCTTCCCAAACTTCTACTTCTGCTACTTTTCTACTCTTTCTAGCAATGCAACCTAACTCGAACTCTTGTTCTGCTTTTGTTTGGAAGAAGATTCACTCTTTTCTTCATTTATCTGGCGTTACTTTGTGTTTCTTTAGTTCAATTTGGAGATGCTCCTCACCTTTAAACTTTTCTTTAACTTTCCTTGTAGAACTATTTTCAATTATCTCTTTTTCTAGTAGTAAGAACCACTTTGCTTTCTTTCCCATGTGTCTTTTTTCTCTGAGTACTTTAAGCTGTCGCCACGTTATCATATGTTCCTTTTGAAGGTCGAGAAGCTGATTAACATGCCAAATATTTAGTCTGCTCACTTCACTTATACTTTTTTCCTTATTTAATTCTAAGAGTATATTTTTGATGAGCAGATCCTTTTTTCCCTGTACTCCTACAATGCTCCAACTTTCTGTGTTCAGGTTTTCTGATATTGTAAACCTGAGTTTTTTGGACAGTTGTAGTACCTTAGCACTTAGGTTTCTACTATTTGCACTTTTCTACCTGCTATTCTTCGCTGTCAATATGCACTCTGCTGTGTTTGTATCTAGTTGGAATTGCCTCAATCGCATATTAGTTGTATTACCTAGCAAGCTATGTGAATTTATACATATGAATAATTCAGATATATGATGCTCTAAGTGCTTTTGCCACAAGCTCATAACTCCAAAAATTTCTCTATGGAGGATAGTTGCATTTGCACATGTTATTGGTAGTTCTGCCTTTTGTTTTAATAACCTTATAAAAGGTTGGTGGATTGCATTGCACTTTTTTTTATTAATTATTATATTTGATAATATATATTCTAGCCTCGGTAGCAGAACCATATTGTTTATATATACTATCTGACTAACTGATAGCTTTTTCTTGACTGAGTTACTTTGCTTAAGCTTGTAAGCTGCTTAATACTTATGAGTTCTTTTAAGTACATCTTTCTGTTTTTTATTTTTTCTTCTAATTCTGCACTGTAAATTGCTTCTTCAAGAGAAGTTTAACTTATTATTAGATCTAATTTTGTTGAAGCTTCTAGATCTGTTAGCTATATAATTTCTTTTTCAAGTTTTTTTCAGATTCTTTAATAGATTTCACATTCTGTTAGATAGTAGAAAGTTTTGTCTTCTCGAAAGCAAGCTATATATCTTTGACTTTTATAAAGCTTAGGATTCCTTTAAAAGCAGATATCTTTTGTAGATAGAATCTTGTTTATGTATTTTATATAGAACATGAAAGACTTGCTCTTTTTTAGACTGATACATTTTTTGCTTTGCATTTTCTTGAGCAAGTCTTATATAATT